ATTTACGATGAACAATTAAATAATTATCAAAAAGAAATTTATTCTTTAAATGTAAAATTACATTTTTCATCATCATCATCATCTCAGCATCCGCCGTCTCAACCTCCTCCATCACAACAACCGCAACCGCAACCGCAACAACAACCACAGTCACCAATTTATAAAAGCTTGGCTGATTATTTCAGTAGACAAGAATAATTCATTTCAATTTTTTTTTTCATATATTGTATGTAATATTTGTTTTTTTCTATCTGGGATACTCTTTTTTATAATAAAAATTAATATTAGTTTAGCTATATCTAAAATCTAATATGGGGATATTCGCCCTATGACATGGGGAATAGAAACGTCCTGAAAGAACCAATGAAATGCAAAAGATAATGCTGAAAAGAGACAAAAAGAAATATTGCAAACGGCCGGAAAACTCAAATCAGTCACGACATTGTTTAAACGAACGTCAACTCCCAAAGCAATCTCCAAAGTTTTCCGTAATCATAGACGAAACTAAGTGGCACCTATGGCAGAGTCAAGACGAACCTCTGACGACATTAATGCTATCCACGATGAAGTATTCGGTAGTGGTTACGATAAGAAGAGACTTCTTGACGAGGCCATATTCAAATACATTAGTGATCGTCAAACATTAGCAATGATGGATGAGTTGATCGTTAAGCGCGAAAAATTACAAGAGGAATCATTATTAACGAATGTGCAATGAACTTGATGGTGATGCACAAGCTTTGGATGATATGATTGAAATGATCGATTCAGAGATGATTTACATTAATGCTAGGATTCGAGGTTTACAATCAGAAGCTGCTAGAGGTGCTGCCGCGGAACAAGAAGCAAATGAAAATCATAAAGGTGATGGTGAAACCAGCAAAGATGCTGCCGAAAAACCACGAAAGAATAGCAAGACCGGTAAAACAGAAAAGAGATTCTCCTTTTCCTTATCAGAAAATGCCACATCAGAAACTTCATATGACACTGCCGTTCACATTTTGCGAAGTTTGGATTCATACGAAACTCAAGCAGTATTGGAATCCTTCTTTAAAGACATTGTTGAGGATTGGTCACGTCAAATGACACTCGCTCAACATGATAAACAAATCAACGACTTGAAAAAGACATTATTGGTCATGCGAAGTGCTGCAGGGCTTAAAACGGATGAATATGAAAAGAAAAACAAAGGACTCGAAGAAGCTCTTCGACGTGGTGAAAGAACACCAAGCCCAATAACTTCCGAAAAGAAAGAATTACAAATGGATGGTATCGAGAATGACGCTTCAAACACCATATCTTATTTGATCGTATATATGATCAAGCTTTAGCGCAAGTAGAAACAAGTAAGTTATCGTTATTATATATATATTTTTTTTTTGATAATTTTATTTACAATACAATTATTAATGTAATTTAATCTTTAAATTATATTAAGTATAAGTTTATTAGAGAAGGAAATTGTTATTTAAATATTACCAATGATTTACATTATCAATTGCTGCTGCTGGTGCAGCGGATATATATGTTTGTTCATTTATTGGTTCTTCTGTTGTTTTCGTCATCTTTGTAATTATATCTTTTCCTATTTCAATCCTTTTTAAAAATGAATTTACATTTTCAAAAATACCATTTTTATAAAAATTTTTCACAATAAGTACATCTTCTACCATAACAAACTGGATGATAACCATGACCACAAGCTAGTGCTATACCATTATTGTTTAATTGGATCCCACAACAATCACATAATCCTGACTTTGGTGGATGCGATGTACTGTATGCTGTAACGCAAGTCCAACTCTTTTCCTAAAGTTGCTAGTTTGTATCCTTTTAATTTTTTCTTTTTTCCAGCATTATATACCGGAATACTATTATTTAGATTATGACAAAAATAATTCAGCCAGCAAGAAAATACTGGTTTTATCAGATAAAAAATTAAGTGTAGATAAATTGTATGGATAATGATGGGTTTTGCAATATTTATCTTTAAAAATGGCAATAAATATGCAAATTAACAAATATATACCAATAATATATACCTGTTTTATTATGTTTTTAACTATTACTTTTGAAGATGTGTTTGCTCTTATTTTACTATAAATATTTTCAACATAACAATCTTGATTGTATCAGCAAATGGGTGATGGTTATCTATCCAATAAAATATATTTGATAAAAATATAAGGAGGCTTTTATTATAATTCTTTCTTTTCCAATGTAAAGTAATTTTTTATATATTCTTCAAATGAATTAAATTAAGTATTGCTAGAATCAAATTATTTAACAAATCAATTGTTACTTGATATTCAATTCTTTACATATTAAACCAAATTTGAATGATCTAATTCTAATATTAGTATAAATGATTCAATTTCTTTTGAAAAAACAGATTGTAATCTTGATATATGCAAATGCTCTAATTTTTTCCTGATAAATAACTATCTAGACCAATCTGCAACAATTTTAGCAACTTGATTTTTTAAATAACTTATTTTTTTACTTATAGCTAAAATTATTTATAATACATTTAAATAATTCTGTATTAAATATTCATTAAAACTAACTAATTGAAGTTTACTTATTAATCTTTTATTCTTTTATTCTATAATAAAATCATTATAATTATAAACTGTTAAAAATTTATGTAATTAAAAAGCATTAATATTTCTATATTCTTATAAAACTTAAAATGCTTGATATTCTATATATATAATATCAAAAATTTTACTATAATATCAATAAATTCTTAATATTTCAATATTATTTGGATTATAAAAGAAATTCCATTAAATACTATTAATACTACAAGATATTCTATAATGGATTTTATAATATAAGTAGTAAAATGCTTTGCTATTAATGTTAATACTATATCTAATTTTTGCTTTTCATAAATATTATAATAATTATCCAAATTATAAATATATAATAATTTTCCTATTATAAAAAACTTTTAATGTTATAATATATAAATAAGAAAAATAAATTAAAACTTACTTGTTCTAAAAATGATTATTATATGATTTGTTTGGTTTTTTTTAAAAGTCTATAACTATTTTAGCATATGTTAAAACTGGCAGAAACTGATAGACTGGTCAAATATAACATATATGCTAAATAGAATATATATATTATTTATAGTTTTTTATTATATTTATCATAATTATTATTTATTTTATATTTAACATAATTAGTATATTTGTTAGCTCTGTTATTATTGTCAATAGTATTATTAATACCATAGATTTTCTTTAATTATAATTTTCTTATATAAAAGGTATAAAAATACCTTAAGATTAGAACAGATCCCAACATTGTATTCAATATACATTTAATAACAATAATAAACAACATTAATATTTTTGTAAACATAAAACTTATAACTTTATTCTTGTTAACTAAACAAACTTTTTAATAAATAGCATGTCAAGTTAATTGGATTTAAGTCATAACTATTGCCTTCCTGACTTCAAATCATAGTTAACTTATTTAACAGATAGAGTAATGTTAACAATGTTAAATATTTATAACTTAATAATGTATCAATTACTTCTTATATAACATTTAATGCTGTCAAATATAACTTAATCTCTATCCTGAATTGGTTAATAAATACTAGCAATTATATAAAATTATGTAATAACAGATTTTTTTGCTTCTTATTTATTATGTATTAATTAATCCTTAGAAATAATTGTATTTATCATTAAAGAAAGAATCCTATTAGTTCATGATTAGCTTTTCAATTATATATTAAAATTATATTATATACAATTTCAAATTTGCAGATTCTCAATATTGCTTATTATATAATATATTAATTAATATTTTTATAATTAATATAAATATAAAATCATTTATTAAAGCTAAATATATAAAGACTTTTATAATATATTTATAGTTAATATATCTTTTATTTTAACTTCTTTAATTAAGTTAAATTTATTTTTATATGTAACTCTTTTATTATGATCTTCTTGATCTTTTAATTTTTTTTTGCTTATATAGTATATTTTCATAATTTGATTTTATTATTTTGCAATAATATAGGTGATAAAATTACTTCTATATATTAAGAAAAAATATATTTCTAATATATTTTCTGTAAAACATTTTAATATACAAGTTTTGTAATTAAATAAAAAATAGTTTTTTTTATATATGCAATTAATTATTAAATATGATCTAAAATTTTTAAATCTTATTTTAAAAATAATTTAAAATTAAAATACTTAAGTTTAAGTTAGCATTTCAATTTTGTGTTAATTTATGATTAATTATCATTAAATTAATCTTCTTAAATAGTAGTCAATTAAGGAAAAACTTTATTATACTTCTATAAATAAAAAAATTTATAACAAAAAAATTATGAGTTTAAAAATTATTTCTAAAAATTTATAGTTTTTTATATATAATTTTTTAAGTATTTTTTTATATATTAGTTTATTTAAATAATTTCATATTAATATTATAAATAGTATTATGATAATACTATATTGATTAAATATTATGCAGTTTTAGGAGATAAGATTAGTCAACCAATTCTTTTTGAAGTTAAGCCTAATTAAATCTTAATTAAAGGACAAAAATATTCTCTACAATATTATGAAAATTTAAAGTAAAAGGTTAATATTAAACCCCTGCTAATAATAAAATAGAAATATTATTGGTAAGAATCAAAAAGCTGATGTTAGTAATATAATTGACTTGATAAGTTAACAAATATTTATACTTTATATCAAAAAGAATAGGAAAATCTACAATTGTTTTTAAACATTCTTGAAGAAAAGTCAAAAATTTCTAAAGTATCTATATTTTTAAAAAGAAATAATTAATTATCTTTCTTAAGTAAAATAATGATTTATTTACAGATGACTTATCTCAACTGGAACATATAATATTAATACATATCATATTTTTTAGAAACAAATATATCTATATATCAAAAAGTATATTAAATTACTTCTCTTAAATAAGATTTTATCAAAGAAGAAATTGATAAAATATTGAGAAACAAGTTAATACAATCTTCAAAAAGATCTTGAGCTTCTTTTATAGTTTTAATCAGAAAAAATGATAAGTTAAAGTTTTGTGTTAATTATTAAAAACTTAATAATGTAATTTAATGAGACTGTTATCCTCTTTCATATATTAATAAACTTTTGAATATATTCAGTAAGGTTAAATATTTTACAATACTTAATTTAGCTAATGAATATTGACAAGTCATCATGATATCTAAGAATCAACAAAAAATTGCATTCATTACTAGTCATAGGCTATACATATTCATTATTATGCCTTTTGTTTGACTAATATGTTGGTAACATTTTAAAGGCTCATGAATAAAGTCTTTAAAAAATAAATTGAAAATATGTAGCTGTTTATTTAGATGATATAAATCATCTTATCAATTACATTTAAAAAATATTTGTTGACTATCTCTAAAACATTTTTTAATAGTGTTAGTGAAAATGATGATCACAATTTTTCTAGTGATCATTGGTAGTATTAACTAGCGCAGTCATTTAGTGACACAAATAGATTATCACTAATTTCACTACTATCATAGTTATCGTTATAATATTTATTTTCTTTATTATTACATTTATCATTATTTTATTTATTATATTTATTTTCATAATTATATTTACTTTTATTATTATATTTATTATCTCTTTCTTATAATTGTATTTTATATAAATATCTTGTATTATCACCTTGACAAACTAACAAGTTTCTATCGTATAATTAATAAAGTATAATCTTAATAACATAAAAACTATATCTTTGATAATATTTATTTTCTTATAATATAAATCATTAATAAAGATGATCCGACTCTTTAATTTAAATTAATTCATGTTTATTTCTTTCATAGTTTATAACTTAAATTCCCTGTTAGTAAATAAGCTTTGTTATTCTAACGACGTAATGTTTAGGTTAAGAAAAGCTGAACTAAAGTTAGAACGTAATAAATGTGAATTTAGAAAACTTAAACTTGCTTTTTTAAGATATATCATAAAAAGACAAGGAATTATTCTAAATCTTCAAAAATTAAAAAGATTTGAGATTTTTCAATATTTTTTAATATTACTGAATTTGTGAATTTTTTGGAATCATTTTATACTATTGTCTATTTATACAAAACTTTTTAACTATCACTACATTCTTATATCTTTTACTTAAAAAGAAAGCACTATATCTGTAGACTAAAACTTAATAGCAAACATTCAAATATTAAAAAAATGTTTTATTACAATTTTTATTCTTATTTATCCTGATTTTATAAGAAAATTACCAATGAGTCATATATAAAATTAGGTGC